TCCCGGTTACGGTTACCTTGCTGTTGATTATGGATTGAAATCCATAGAGCTGATGTCCTTTTTTTCCTTCAAAGGACTGGCCGTTTGATGATGGAGCACCACCCCCGAATCAGATAGTTGACGACTGGCTAAACCTGTTGAAAACCAAATTTCGTGAAGAGCCTGGATGCTGTGTCGCTGTTCACTGTGTTGCAGGGTTGGGAAGGTTAGTATTCTGCTGTCTTGGTTTTCTACTGCGCTTAAAGTTAGTGTATTTGTTCGGGAGGTAGGTCACGGAAGGTGTTAAGTGAATGCCAATTTCTCTGTTTTCTCCCAAATAACACTTTAAAGCAGCAGCAGCAAGTTTGTGTCATTAAAGCAGGAGGGACGTACTGCAGCTTAAAAATCTTCAGTAACTCCATAGCTCTGATCCAAGATGAGAGGAAAAACTTGGAGAGATTGTTCAGAACGCTTGTGTCGATCACGAACGACACAAGGAGTTAGAGATGCTATTAATTTGAAAGCGTATGTCTTTCTGCTGAAACAATAACCTCTCTTGTGCTTCTTGACAAATGCAGTATGCATGCATAGCACAATTTCTAAGGCTGTACAGTTGTTTTTTAAAATTTCCTCCTGTTTTCAACTGGTATACTATTAAGCATGTGGTAATAAAAAAAGGCATTTAGAAAAACTGGTTCAATTAGTTTTAGTCTAAAGTGGCTTCACTTTGGTGGTAGGAAGGGTTAGGCTTGTATTTCATGCAGACTTGATGTTTCTCTCCTCACCACTCAAAATATAATTTCCTTCTTTGGGAAGAACTTCCTTTCAAGAAGAAATAAAAAAAAAAAGACTGATTTGGGAAGGCTAAATGCTACATTTGTATTCCCAAACGTAGTCTCTGAATGTTATGTTTATCCTATGGGCTAGGAGGGAATGGAGCTCAAGTGTCAGTATTCTTACAATGACCATGGGACTGTTACTACGCAAGGATATGAATGGGTGGGCAAGAAAGGTGGGTTGGAGAAGTCAAGTAAGCGCAGAGTTGGAGCGCATCAGGTTCTTAAATTTCCACCTCTAGAGAAGAAGAGATGGGGGAAATGAAGAGGTAGAGGGAGAAACGGCCGATATTTAAAGACACAAGAGCCAAAACCCTAAGGCAATTAACATTTGTTTATCCATTTCTGCTCTATTTTTATCTGAGGAACATCTTTAGGAAGGTGGCCACGTGTAACTCAAGTGATTTTAAACTTGTTTCTTGCATAATACCAGGCCAGAGGGTACCAGAAGCTTCCCATCTTCTGTGTGTCACACAAACTCGCGCCGTGTCTCTGTTCCTTACTGAATGACCTTTTGGCTCTTCTCAGACTACTTCTGGCAGAGGAAAAAGCAAGAGCTTTACAGATTTTGCTTTAATCTGGAAAACCGTCTACCTGTAGTAGGGAATTGAACTTCAGCTACAGTAAAAAGAGACAGCTTTTCTTTTTTTTAAGTGATTTTTGAGGTTTCAAATTGTTTCCTTTGGGAAGTGAATGATTTTGTTTACGCAGGTGCAGCCTGGCAGTGATAGTGAGAGTTGTTTCTCCTCAACTATGTTTTTGTTTAGCCGTGAGTAAAAGTTGTCCAGTTGTGAGCACCTGTTTAATCCTTTACTACTCTACCCTCGGAGGTGCCTGTTGCAACCGTGTGCGTTTAGGTGTGCGTTTAGTGGGGTGAACGTCAGTCCAGGAGAAAGTCAACGTGTACTGTGATTTTGGCTTGTTTGAAGAGCCAGCTCTTTTACACTTAACCGGTTTCCAAAATGTGGACCCCAAAGTAGAAAGTTTTACTCTGTTGTCCCTGGGACGCCCAGTTCCGTGTACAGCACAAAATTTAACAAAAAAAAAAAATCTACATAAGATCTATCTCGCCTACAGCTAGATCTACAGTGTCATAAGTAGCAAAATGCGTGCAAGAGGTATTACGCCCTTGTTTTAGTGAAGTAGAAAATTAGGTTATAGTGAAATGAGAAAGTGTAAAAATCTAGAATGATGGTTTCTTGCCCCAAACGCCAAGGAGCTATTGATTTTTATTTTTTTGTGTGTTGGAAACAGAGCTGTCTACTAAAAGAAATTGTACATTATGTACTCGGCAGGCAAATGTCTTCCTGTAGATAATGCTTAAGAAGAAAATACTTAGCTATTTGTTTATAGATTAATTTGATGTATTTTGAGGGGTTCAATATTTTGTTTCTCCAGATCTTCCTTAAATATTGATTTCTCCTTTAGGGCTCCTGTACTGGTTGCACTTGCTCTCATTGAATGTGGAATGAAGTACGAAGATGCAGTTCAGTTTATAAGGCAGTAAGTTAAACTTCCCTGTTCTCAAGAAACATCTCTGTTTATGTTGTATTTGAACAGCATGCATCTTTAGCGAAGTCTGTTAGATTTCTGATTTGTTTTCTAGTAGCTATATCATGCAATAATGGGCATGACTGACATTAATGCCGAGGCTTGTGCCCTTTCCTCTGTTTAAAGAGGGGGATTAAAAGGTGATTTTTTTATATTTTTTTTTTTTTTTAAATCTGGGCTTATATATGAAACCATTGACCTAAGACTCAAAGATTTTGAACTTGGGGAGAAAAAATGTCTAGGCTGGGGCTGTAAAAATCGTGGATGAATTGGACATGGACTAATTGCTCCTAATTAAAAAAAAAAAAAAAAAATTCTAGTGAGGTTGGCCCCCCAAGCAGAATTTCTACAGCAAGTAGGTGAGCACCAGCACTCCTGCAGGCGTTGTGGGTGAGTGTGTTATCCACCCAGGAGATGTCAGAAACCACCTGTCTGGAAAATAACGAAACTGGTAAAGGATGAGACTGCAGAGCTCTGTTGGTTTAGTGATAACATCAGATCTTGAAATGAATCCCAGCAGGTAAGATGATGTTGAATGAGCTTTGCCAAAAGAGCAATTCATCCTTTTGTGGATTCCCAGGGTCTTCAGTTATCTCTGTAAACTGTATTGCTGTCAACAGATTTTTTTTTTTTCTTTCCCCCTGAATTTTTTCCTTTCTTAAATTCCTTTTTTCTCTTCCTGGGTGTGCTACCTTATATGCCGAGAAGCTCTTTTCTGAGAACCTCTTACATATTTGTATCTGAATGTCATGGTCTTTATTTACTAGCTAATGTAATAAGTAGCACATGCATCTGCAAGGAAAGGGTGACCTTGATGTTGTTCAGTGACTACTGCTGGCGATGGAAGTAAACTCTCCCAATCCAAGAAAATATGCTGAAATTTGCTAACTGGATTTTGACGTTAATATTGGCATGTAGGTGATGAACTGCATGTGCTGGCCTGGCTTGTCCTTCCTCACAGTGTCAATGGATACGGAACCAAGCCAGAGTGCTGTTTTGTAGATACAGAAAAGCTTTGAAACGAGGACTAATCTGCTTTAGAATGTATATGGTGATCGAAGCAGTACTTTTTCCATTGATACTAGCCTTCATTCTCTTTGTTTTAGGAAAAGGAGGGGAGCTTTCAATTCCAAACAGCTGCTTTACCTTGAGAAATACCGACCTAAGATGCGATTACGCTTCAAAGATGCCAACGGTCACTGCTGTGTTCAATAAAAAAAAAAAATCTCAAACGAAGGCAGAAGTTAGCATGGCTGTTTTCTGGACTCTTGGCACCTGGAAATGTGAATCTGGAATCAAACTACGTCATCAAATTAGTGGTGGAGTCAGTGCTCCTCAACCTCTGTCCTAATGGTGGTGATGATTGAAAAAAATAAAAATAAAAAAAAAATTTAAGAGAAACATTTCAGTGAAGGATTGTTTTCTCCTTAAGCTGCAGTTTGAACATCTGCAAGGAGAAAATCAGTTTCTGAACCTTCTGTATTTTTAACTTTTTAAGAAAAGAAATAAAGTAAATTTTATGTCTAAGGAAAACCAGCAGAGCATTGGCTTGTGCAGAAACTATTTTCTTGATTTGAGGAAAGTACCCCACAGTTAGGGCCTGATACATTAATTCCTATGGGACTCTCTTAAATGGAGTTGCCTTTTTTTTTAGCCTTGCTGGGACCTGGCAGAGAGTCGTGAGGAGGAGCCTTTGTTGCTGTGTGGGAGCAGTCTGACAGCCTTAAGCCCAGCCTGGGCATATTCTAGAGATTGGGTGATGTCTGTGTTGTACGTCTGCGTGGTGGTCGGGCTCTGCAGGTGTGAAAAACCTTCCTGGTAGGCTTTAAGAGAAGACTCGCTGCCTCGTATCTTCGGTGAATCTGCTAAAGGCCTTTGGTTGGTGGGAGATAGTGCTTTTAGCTGTGTGAGAGTGCGTGTGTGCACGTGTGTGTGTGATTTTGTGTGTGCGAGAGTTATTTTTTCCAAAGAATTTGGCTGAAATGTTAATTGTCCTTCGGTTGCTAGACAGAAAATCTATCCCGGCAGAAGACTGATGGTCAAAAGTGTCCTAGGTGAGGAAAGGGCAATTCGGACAAGGACTGAAAATTAATTTATCTGTCGTAAGGAAGAAGAAAAGGCTTTTTGCTGCTGACCAGCTTCTCTGCCTTGCTGAACCCAGTAAATCAGGATTTGGGGGGAGGGTCTCATTTGTACGGTATACGAGGTGAAGATGGTACGCACACAGAAACGCGGTCAGTGAATGAATGCCTAGCGTGGGTGTTTTCCCAGACTAGCCCTCGTGTACGGTTCAGTTTAACCGCTGATTGCCTTGTTATTTTTTTAATTAGGTTCTTTTGGAGGGAGAATGTCTAGTTACACACCAACATGCCTATCATGTGTTCACCATCGGCAGGCCATAAATACGCTGATTTTTGGAGTGTGGACTGGTACCACGGTCTCTTTGTAGGGGCAGTGGTTTTGCCAGTGAATTAATCAAGACGAGTCATTTTACAGCCTCTAATACGCAGTTTCAGCCAGGCTACTTCTACCAAACACGTATTAACTTCGTGCCCTGCCCCGGTAATGACCTCATATGCTTTCAACTTGACATCACGTCTGTAATACGCAGCCGTTGAAGGCTTTGAGTAGGTTCAGGGTCATGATCTGAGATCTCGTGCTGTGGAGCACCGAAGGCTTTCGTTGGTCTGTGCCTGTAGCCGGCGCAGGCTGGCGCCCATCTTTTACCGATACCTCAGCTGCTGGCGATGTGAACGGCCTTCGCGGGATTTCTTCTAAGACTTCTGGTTTTAGTCTGCAGCTCAACTGCGCAAGCGCGTTCAGAACACAAGTAACGGACTTCTAGAATTCTATTGCTGGGAGGGATTGATAAATTTAAGCAAAAAAAATAAGGGTACTTGTCAAGCCCCTCGCTTCACAGAGATGCCGAGAGACCTGTCTGAGGTCCGTGGCTAGAAAACGGCACTCCCTGAAACGCGGTCTGTACCCTGGCTCGAGCTGCATTGTACCGAGTTCCTTCCTCCCTCTAAGATGTGTAACGTTTCTGATTTCTTTAATAGATAAAGGAGAGGCGAAAGCGTTTGTGATGTCCGTGCCTACGTTAGGGAAATAACATCCCTGGCAACGTTTGAGGCCATGCGGAAGGTAGATGATGCTGAAATTACCTAATTCTGGCCCTTGCCTTCCCCTCACAAACTAGAAGCCTAACGTTCTAACTTTCTGCAAATTAAAATCGGTGTTTTTAGTCAAATGAAATACTGGTAGTTAAAGCCGATTTGACAAATGATGGAAGTCAGCTTGGAGGGGAAGGTGGTGAGCTGGATTAAAAACCAAACCCCAACCCCTTCTGAAGAACAACAGAATAATTTTACGTGCTCTATGTATAACTTTGCATTCTTCCCCCTAGTTTTACTCTGATTTATAATGTACTAATTATCATATACTCTGACTCTGCAGCCTTAATTGAGGAAAAATAGTGAAAAGTGCAGGCTGTCATACAGCGTAGACACCAATGGGGGGGTGGAATTGCGACCGATGTCCGGTAGACACGATACGCGGTTCGCACTTGAGCGTAGTGCAATAAAGCTCTCGCAGTAAAATGTCTTCCCTCTGGCTCTTGATGAATTTATTGCAGCTCATGAATGTTAAATGCTCTTCTTTTAATCTGATTTGTAAAGGCCTTTGGACAAGTTTGTCCATGCCCCTTGCGTTACTGGTCGCCGTTGGGTGCTACGTGGCTTGGATTTGCTGGTGGCTTGTAGCTGTTGGGAAAGGCTGCTCTGCCTTTGAGGAGAGGCAGCAGTGCTGCAGACAGGAGCCGTTTTCTTACTTTCAAATTACCTGTTTAAAAACATGTCAACTTACCTTTAAAAAGCCAAACCCAAACCAAACAACAGCTCTGAGCTGTCAAAAATCTGTTGCAAAACTTTCTGTTGCGGCCTGGCCAGGATCGGGGAGCGTGCCGCCCGGCAGAGCTCGAGGGGGTGCTTTGGGGTGACAACGAGGGAGCTTCTGGAGTCCCGGACCCCAGTCCCGTCCCCTCCTTGCTAGCGGAGTGCCGCTGCGTTGATTTGTGTCATTTATTTAAATAACACTAAGGTGCTACTTTCTGGGCTTCACAGGTAACAATCCAATCAGCTTTGCTTTGCTGCCATCAAACAAATACGTTCCTTGCAAATTGGTATCGTGTTCCTAATATTTATCAGCTTTGTCCCGCTAGCGTACGAGCACAAATTTCTAGTCCCTGTTGGCAGTGAGCTGATAAAGCACTTTGACCGTGAGACAGGCAGCAGTAACTGTGAAGTTCCATCTCCTCTTTCTGTGAGGACGTCTTTGTATATTATTATTATTTTTTTCATACCAAACTCTTGCTTTGTTTTTCAAAGTTTCTACCTTTTTGGTTACCGTGCACAAAAGTGAAATGTCTTGCTAATCAAAGGCTACTCGGTATTAAAAAATAAGCACTTCATTGGAACTGAGATATTGCTGTATGATACGAGTTACTTGTTTCTCTTGTTAATTTTTTTTTGCTGACATCTAGGCAGCTTCAGATACCGATGCTTTAACTGGAGGTAGCACTTAATCACATGCATATTTATATCACTTCAGATGCTACTTTTAGAGCAATTAAGGGTGATAAGCAGAGTGGAGTGACTCTGCATGGGGAAAGAATCTGCAGGAATCATGGTTTGCGCTTCTATAATAGTGTATGCTCTTTTACTAAAAAAATAATAAATCATTTAACTTAGTCTTATGCTTGCAAATCACTTCCAGAGAGCATTTCAAGTACGCGTTTCTTGGGGAAGAACGGCTTTTTGTCAGTGAACAGATCTGAAGTAAAACGTTAAGGTTCCTATCAAACCTGCTGTCTCTCTGGACTTGCGCGGTGTCGCCGCTCCAGGCAGCACCCTTCCCGTGCGCGCTAAGGGTGGCCGGAGCCTGGGCTCTGGGTCGCGACGTCCCGAGCAAAGACGGAGAAATCCTCGGGCTGCGGCGCTGGGGGCACGCGGTGACGCGCAGCCCGGCTCCGTAGCAGGTGACCGGGCTGGGGCGTGTGGGTCGCTGTGCTCGCCCGTACGGCCGGGAGGCTGGCCTGGCCGAGTTGGTAGAGGTGTAAAGCTGGGGGTATCCGGGAGTCCCTCGGCTCTTCTGTGAAAATGGAGGCGTGAAGGAATCCTGCCTAGAACTGGGTTTATGCCGGATTAAGTCCCAGAGGGACATAACCGGTAACGCTTTTCACAGGTGTGCCTGGAACACCTTTCGTTTTAGGCTGTCCAAGGGCTACGGGGACATCCTTACCTTGGTAGTCCTGTGTTAAATATTTTTGCAAAACCCCAAACCTTTGGTATGGGGCTAAATCTTAACGACCTTCCCTTGTTCTGGCTACTTGTTTCATCAGAACTTAAATCACCACCATCGATGAACGAAGTGACCTAAATGAAGTCTTGTTTTCCATGCCATATATTTAGTCTAGATCCTGCTGCTGCTGACTGGTGGGACAATGCCGAAAAGAAAATTCCTAGGCTGTCTCACGGAGTGACGGGCTCTCCGACAAAGCCGTTGGTGCAGTTGCCTGCATAGCACCTGGGACAGGAACCCCGCTTCTCTTTGGACCGCTGAGCAGACCCTCGCTTCGGGGGGGTGGTTGGTACCCGGTAACTGAGCGCCCGAGCGCTTCGCGGGGGTGGTGGTGTGACCGGCCAGGAGCTTTCCCCTCGAAGAAACGACTGTGGGTGAGATGTAGAGGCTGCTGGAGAAGCTGCTTCATTTTGGCAGGATAGCTAGAATTTGAGGTGGCTATCTCTCTGCCCTTTCTTACAGGGCTTAACTCTGTAGATGGAGACGAAGGAGGGATGCCGGGAGCCAACGCCAGAGGAAAATCCCTGATCCAAATCTGCGGATGGATTGGAAGAGCTCGAGGCGGGGAAAAGAACCAGGTAAGGAATCGCTTCTTTTCTGTCTAGCAAGGGAAACCAAAAGCACTGAGTAATAACGCGAGTCCTTTAAGTCCGCAGGGGGAGCGGATCTGGTCCCAGGGTGCGGGATGTCCTCTGTGGCTCCTGAAGCCGCTTTGCTGGGAAGCCCGGCTGAATGCCGATGACCGGAGCCCTTTACCGAAATAGTTCTCTCCCGGCCAAGCACCCCGAGGATAGGATGCTGTGCGAGGCCCCCTGCTCCCAGCGAAGCGGGGAGGCCGGGGCTGCCAACATCTGCGGTGTTTTGCAGCGAATGGAGAGCACAGCGTGAACCCCTGGCTGAAATAATGTTCAGAAAGCCCTTGCGCTGTCTTTGGCAAGGCCGTGCGTGTGGAGCTTGTGACCTTCGTGGGCTACTGTTTTGTTTCTGTTTT